GCGTGCCCAACCAGAGCGAGAGAGAGGGAAAAAAAAGGCCAGAGAGACGAGGAGGTGGCCGTTAAATTCAGTTCGTCCCCGCCCTCCCCGCGTACTCGTCGCTCGAAACCTTCTTCCTCCTCCCACCTCCGTCCCAACTCCCAACGCCACCGCGCCGCACTGCGACTCCCCCCACCGGAAGCCATCCACTGCACCGCACCCTCCTCCCCCTCCACCCCAAACCACATCGTGCTCCCTCCGCAAGCCCGCATCCTCTGCGATGGAGCAAATTGGCCAGCGGCCACCGCCTCCGGAGCCGGTGCCACGCCCACCGCCGACGCCGGGGAGCTGGATCAGGATCTTGCGCTCGGTGGCCTCTTCATTGGGCTTATCTCTCAGCTCGCTCATGATGCTAGTGTGGCGCGCATGCCGCTTACCGGTGGGCCAAGACGAGGAGGAGCGCAATGAGACCAAGAACAAGAACAAGAAGCAATCAACGACGGATGGCCAGGACGATGAGGATCGCCGGAGGAGGATGGAGAGGGAGGCCAGGAATAAGGCCAAGGCGGAGGCCGAGGCGAAGGCCAAGGCGGAGGCGGAGGCGGAGGCCGAGAAGAAGAGGCAAGAGGAGGAGGCCAAGAAAAGGAAGGAGGAGGAGGCGGCGGCCAAGGAGGTGGAGGATGCCAGGAGGAAGAAGGCATAGGCCAAGAAGAAGGAGGAGGAGAAGCTTGCCGAGGCCATCAAAAAGGCCAATGAGAAGAAGGAGGAGACGAAGAGACGGCAGCGGGAGGACGACGCGCGGAGGAAGGAGGAGGCCAGGATGGAGGAGGAGGACAGGCAAAGGAGGCGGGAGGAGGCCCAGAGGAGGAAGGAGGCGGACAAGAACAAGGATGAGTATGAAGTACGATCGATCATGCGCTTGCTCGTTCCTTTTGTTACGAGTTCAGTTTTCCTGTTCCTTTCTGCTCCTGTCTGAATGGCAAAATGAGGATCATCAGCGTTACTTTCTGTTCATCATCGTGTTTTGACCGATCATCAGCGTTTAGGCAGGTTTACATCTCTGAAAAAAACTGATGTTTGCTGTCACTATAATGGTAGAATAGTTTACTGTCACATTACAATTTACACCCCAATCGATTGCCATGTTTTAGTTTCTACTGAAGAGGTGTCTGAAAAATTCCCACCTCTGCTTATGGATGATGCAGAGGGTGTTGATTCTTTGTATGGAATTTTAGTTAGTGTTCGATCTTGATGAAGTGGCCGTTCTAAGGATAAATCACCACCCCGGTCTCTATATCTAGTCAGGTTGCTCTTTTCCCCTTTGTTATCAAGACTACAGCCACCACTAAGCCTACCTGAAAACCTTTGGTCATTTGAAGATGGGGATTTATCAGATAGCTGTTTTGGTGAAGAATGTGAATCTTTCCTTAGTGTTTGATCATATTGTGACGATGTAGAAATTTCCAATGGTATGTCACGTGACTGCAGATCATCCTTTTGTTTGAGCCTTTCCAAAGACCAATTGCCCATTATGTTTTACTAGTTTGCTGCATTTTTGTTGCTCATAGGCATGAAATTGACTGGCTGATTCTGAAAACTGTTTGACTGTTGTAGATCGAGAGGGACGCTCACAGGAGCTTCTGGGATAAGAACATTAGCAGCCTCAAGAAGAATCAAATGACCTAATGCATGATCTGCTTCTTTGAAAACCAGAACTCTGAATATGGCTGTACTGACCATGAGGCAGCGCTTTTCTCTCGACTTCCTAACTGAGTGTGGTAAACTAAATTTAGGGACTAATCTTTTTTTTGTTTGTTTCTTTCTTTTCAGAAGGATCACCATATCGGAAATCGTCACAAAGCGGGAGTGGAACACTGCAAGAAGCCGGGTTGCTATGTGATTGCCAAGGACAAGAGCCAGCTAGGGAAGCACCGGTACTATTGTCATAACATGCGCAAGTAAAATGGTATATACTCTGCACTTCATGAAGATTATGCTCTGGTTAGCATGAAGGCTGCCCTTGTTATAGCCTTTAGAATTCGCAGGAATCTCTTTTGAGAATTTTGTACAAATATTGCGAACACTCTCATAATAAATTTTAAGACTAAATGCCATTGATTTTCCTTTCAGATTGTTCATCATATCAGCAGGTCGCACAAGGGAGTTGGGATTGAAAGTTGCAAGAAGAAGGGTTTCCTTGTTATAGCCGAGGAACATCTAGCTCCATAGTTTGAGCAAATGAGCCCACTGTTTGGTGCTTCTGTAGCAAGTGATTAGCATTAGTTTTTTACTTTGTTTCACAAGAGACTTCTGCAGCGAGTGCTAGCATTAGTTTTTACTCTGTTTCTTTCACATGAGATGTGTGCACTAGGGTCTAGTGTGCTCATTGGAGAATTTTGTACAAAAATCTTGTGAATGGTCTTTTGTGATGGATGGAAAGGCTTTGGTGTCTTAGATTCTAACGAAGACTGTTTATACAGTAGAATTTAGTACTGATGTTTCCACTTCTATTGAATCCTTTACATTCAGAATACGAACAATAGTGTGGCAAATCCTACAAATGATATTATGCAGCAGCTGCAGAACAGGAAAAAATGAGTGGCTGCTGGTATACAAACAGAAATAGAAATAGCACATTGTCTTTGTGATGGTTTCCTGGTTTGTGTGTTTTTGGACCATATGCTACCCTCTGCGATGAAAATGTACTGATGAAAATCTGCATTAGTTAACACCTCATTGTATTTGGGTCTGTTTTCAAGACAAACAAAATACAGATGCAGGGTCCGAATGTAAATTCAGAACAAGCCAGAATGATCTGGTCCTTACATAATGTCTCTCAACTAGACTTGACCTATCATAAGAACTAAAAAACATCAGTCTTCAAATAAAATCCCTCATCTTGCCAGCCTTGGATTGAACAGCATTTGGCACAAGCAACAGCTTGCCTACGCTTGCAGTTAGAAAAGAGACGCCATTTCTGGTAGTGGTATAGACACACCATGCCAGTGTATTCGCTTGTTTTCCCCAACAGCATCATCAAGATCTAAGAGGTTGTTACTGCTGATGGTCGGTATGCGTGTCTCTGTATTATTGAACATCTTTCATACACCTGTATCACCAAGGCATAAGCATTCTTGGTAGAGCAAATTCTGCGCATACGTGGCTTGAACCTGCACAATGCCCCATGGCGTGTGTAAGTGGGAATCGATAAAAAAAATTCTACTATTATAGAGTGTAGTATTTCGATGAACAGTACACCATTCAATATTTACTAGACATCTATCCAATCTTTTGTAAGTGCTGAAAACCTCTTGTTAGTCCAAGTATAAGGAGGCTGTTTACCAAGATCGCAGAAGATATGAATTGTGTAAACCCTCGTCAAAGCAACCACGTTGTTTTATAAGCACGGGTACTTTTTCACTACCCTACATTATGATATTCAGATGTCCCATACAAAAGTCAGGTCGAACCAAACCATCATTCACGAGAAATGATCATTCAGATCATTAGTTCTGATCCCTGTAGATTTCAATTTTAAGATATAGATTACCTACACTGTGAGGCATGGGTTGATGTTTGACTGTCGTAGCCCCTTGTTCAACCTCAACGTGAGATCAGATTCATAGCTGGCTAAGCGCCTTGGAATCTGGTGCCAACAGTTTTTTCCCTATTTTTTTGGAAGACTACGCCAACTTGAAATTGTAGTGGAATATTGGATCCCCATTGAGCATGAGATGGCTTGATGACTGTCGCTTCAGGGTTCTGTAATGCCCTCTCACCGATTAACAGATTCTTCTCCACCATTAAGATACCTCTGAAATCTGGAGCTTTCTATTATACACTGAGTGGATCAATAAAATTGTGAAGGTAATACTAAGAATTGCATAAAATTAGTTTCTAGGATAATTTGAAGGGAAAACATTTGGATTATGCCACCAGTTCCGCAAGTGTTTATGCTCATGTTCTATGCTGCAATTTTGCCGACATGCATTCTTCTATTTTTATTTTTAACCAAGACATGCACATGCCTTACAGGGAGCATAAAATTGCATTATATACAAGGATAACAAAAATAAACCAGCTAAATAAATACTCCCTCCGTTCCAAATTACTCATCGTTATTTTAGTTCAAATTTGAACTAAAACAACGACGAGTAATTTGGACGGAGGGAGTAGTGAATTAGCACTGGTAATCATACCTACATAAGAAGCTGTGGAGTTCAGGTTGTTCGGGAGGGGGTACATACCAGAGGCACACGTCTTCACCTCATAAGGAAATCGTGATGTTTCCATGGGTATGCCGACAAACATGCCGACCACAGTACCGTTCGGTCTAAATTAAAGATTCTAAACTGTTTCGAGTGGCAATCTTCCTCTTTTTCAAAGTAACTCAGCCGAAATGCTTGCCAAAGCATGAAGAACCGTATCAAGTAGGCCAGGAGCAAGAGTGTAATTTACTTATACCATTCAAATAAATCTTCAGTTATCTTGAACCATGGACAGGGATAAGCAATTCCACTGACATGTACCGGTAATAATCAGAAAATGATGTCACCTTCAATGGCTAGTTAATGAAGAACATTCCAATTAAATAAATGATACAGACACAATGAAAGCATCAGAAATATATAGTACATCATACAGAAGAGAATAATAGACCATGCTACTGGATGGTTACTACATGGCTTGTACTTCCAGTTATTATTTTTTCTGAGAGTACGCAAATTGTACTTTCAGTTATAGTGGGGGTGGGGGGGAGGGGTATCAAACAAACAATATTCAGCCAAAATATGCATGTGAATAGGAAAGAAATGTGAGAACAGAAAACGGAATTGTTGTAGAGCACCATTTCCATTCCTAATATTTATTTTTCGGCCATAGTTTCATCAGATACAGCAAACAATGTATGGAAAAAAGAGATAAACGGAACATGCTTCCTTTGTCATAGCATCTGCCCACCAAAGAGTGGCAAATTTGGTCGACATACCCCATAATCAAGGTACATAATTAAAAAAAGCTACCTATTTGTACAATGACAGGTTCATCACTGTAAGACTGGGTGTTATCCATATGGGACTTGGCCAGCTGGACCAAAGCGGGGACACAATTTCCTCCCTACTGTCATCTTCAAGGTTGAGAACACCTATGTCCCGGGGATTCGTCTTATACTTCCAATTGTGTTGCTCATCATCTGCGAAATAGACACAATTTGCCTTCAGTTGCGGATATTCTTCAGCACTAAGGCATATAGACTGGTTACGCCCCAGAAACAACACGTTATGATGCAAGCTATTTATTTCCACAAGCTCTTGTGCTTCCATATCGACTTTGTGTAACAAGATTTTATTAGTTTTAACTATGAGCTCCTCATAGCCCGCATCTATGAGTTCAGCCTTCCTGCAAACTTGCAGCAGATCACCCCATGGAGCCTGAAGAAGGTAGAATTCGCCCCTGTACTCAGAACTGTGAATGGCAATCTCATCTGCAATTATATTCCTCGTGACGGTAGGACCAGTGAGGTCAAAAGCATCCATTCTTCCGGCTCTTGTGGATGCATACAATAGACCATCCATGTAGATGCATTGATCATAGTCCCAATCCAGCGTCAGCAAGGTCCACTTACAATCTCCTACCCTTGCAAACGAAAGCTGACATCCTGGACCATGGATGAGAACCACAATGTAGCTTCCTGTGGACGGATCCGGAAAGATAAATACCCTGATGTAGACATGGTCACGAAGCTTGTCAGGAGCATGGGTTATCATTTCGGGACCAACCATTTCAGGGTCTAAATCCGGATCGTACAGTTGCTCCCACAATTCATACATAATAACTGTGCCTGCATTGTCAAAGATTGGCTCTACATAACCAATGGTGACCACCGACGGGAGAGCAATCTGTTGGCCAGTGACCGGATTGATAAGGTGTAGCTCAGACTTGTCATCCGCAGTAACTAGCCAACCATGCGATGACCCAATAAGATACCTGCTGCGGATGGGTGGATCCGGGAGAGTTAAATTGTAGACCCTCTTCTCTGCGAGGCTGTAGAGACAAGCTACATTCTAACCAGCAGATTCAGAGGTGTAGAGGAGGCAAGGCGTTTGAGGCCGTTTGTACAGCTTAAGCTGGCTGCAGAGGCTGGTATACGCCGAGCGCCAGGAGGAGCTGACAGAGGCCGCACGCATGAGGTCAGGTATCTCCAGGAGTGAAAATATGTCCATCAATACATCCTGCGGCAGCTCCGGCAAATTTCTCACCACAGTTTCAGTTTCCATGGGTGGTGAGACCTTTCTCAATACATCCTGCAGCAGCTCCGGCAGTTTTCTCAACACAGTTTCAGTTTCCATCGCTGGTGAGACCTTTCTGAATTTCCCCAATGAACAGGGAGAAAGAGCCAGGAGCTTAGGCAAAACTTTCAGGCCAAAATGAGCAAAGCTCGTTATCCTGGCTACGCTACAGACCTCCATTGGAGCAATTGCAAAAGCAGGTCTTGTTGGAGAAGAGTTGCTTCAGCGGCAAACCAACTGGACTTGGCTTGTATCTAATCTGATGAGAAGAAGCACACCGAGGGCTGGCTGCACTTTATATCCAGTCGAGCCGAGGCCTCACCTGTGATCCGATTAGAAGAAGGGAGTCCGGATCCAGCGAGGATTGTTGCCGTAGAAACTCCGAAAAGATCTGGAATTCGAATCCGAGCAATTACCGCAAGGGCTCCCCAACGATGGGAGAGGAAAACCAACTGATTGCCCGCCGCAGTGTAGCCCGACGGCTCGGCCGTCCCAGGATCCGCGAGAAGGCAGAAGGTAGCGCCGGCGAGCTTGGGCTTCGTCGGCGGCGGTAAACGGGATGCAGGAGGGGTGGTGAGATTAGCAGTGGAAGGTAGCGGCGAGAAGGTGCTTGGCTCCGACGTCTTCGTCGCAGGCGGCGGCGTTGTGGGGGCAGGTTGCCTTTGCAGAGGTGAGCGGAGAGGCCGTCAGTTATGCGACCGAGCACTGTGTGCTCCGCGCGAGCGAACGATTCCTTTTTCATTTTCTTTTTTATTTGAAAACTTGCGCGCGAGCGAACGATTCCTTTTCCTTTTTCTTTTTATTAGAACTTCCGAGCCAGCGACCGATTCAATTTAATCGTATTGGAGTCCGCCGTTTAGTAGATTTTTTTTTCTGTCTGACAAACTCCAGAAACGCTTCCACTCAACCGACCGATTATCTCACTTCGTTCACTGCCTCTGTGATCGTTAGATCTGCCTTTCATGTTACCACGACTAAAGCAGTGTTCTCCTATTTCACGCTCATTCTTGACTCCGCCAAGCCATGACCGTTCACCATCGACCTCACGGCGATGCACGTTGGTCCCTTTGAACTCTCACTTCTAGAAGCTCCTTTTTTCCGAGGACGAGATATGGACGGCCACCAAGCACTTTCCAATGGGTCAAACACCGGGCCCGGATGATTTCGCCATTGAGTTTATGCAGAGTGCTTGAGAGGTGATCAAGGAGGACATTTGCGGTGTGTTCAGCGAGCTACATTCGCTCAATTTTCGAGGCTTTCGCAAGCTTAATGAGGCACTCATTACTCTACTTTTCAAGAAGGCGGACGCTGTGTCACTCTTCAACTACCGGCTAATCAGTTTGATCCACCTCATAGTCAAGCTTTTTGTGAAGCCTCTCTCTCTCCGGCTCGCCTCGCATCTCAGCAGTATGGTTTCCATCAACCGAAGCGCGTTCATCGCTAGCAGAAGCATTCATGATAACTTCCTACTCGTGCAACAAATGGCACGCCTTCTTCATTATCTTAAAGCTAATAGGATGCTTCTGAGGCTTGACATCCCTGCGCATTCGACTCGGTATCCTGCTTTTTCCTTCTCGAGATACTTCGACTGTTGGGGAACATAGCATGCAATTTCAAAAAAAATCCTACGATCACGCAAAATCTATCTACGAGATGCATAGCAACGAGAGGGGAGAGTGTCTCCACGTACCCTCGTAGACCGAAAGCGGAAGCGTTAGGTTAACGCGGTTGATGTAGTCGAACGTCTTCACGATCCAACCGATCTAGTACCGAACATACGGCACCTCCGAGTTCAGCACACATTCAACTCGATGACGTCCCTCGAACTCTTTATCCAGCAGAGGGTCGAGGGAGAGTTTCGTCAGCAGACGGCATGGTGACGGTGATGGTGATGTGATCCGCGAAGGGCTTTGCCTAAGCACTACGACGCTATGACCGGAGGAGTAAACTGTGGAGGGGGGCACCGCACACGGCTAAGAGAATAATTGTTGTGCTATGGGTGCCCCCCCCCCGGTATATAAAGGAGGAGGGGAGGAGGCCGGCCACAAGGGGCGCGCCATAGGGGGGAAACCGACTAGGACTCCCAATCCTAGTCGGCCCCCTTTCCTTTCTATCGGAGGGGAAAAGGGAAGCAGAGGGAGAGGGAAAGAGGAAAGGGGGCCGCGCCCCCTCCCCCTTGTCCAATTCAGACTCCCTTGGGGGAGGCACCCCTTGCGGGATCCCCTCTCTCTCCCCTATGGCCCATGAAGGCCAATTACTTCCCCGGGGGGTTTCGGTAACCCCTCGGTTCTCCGATAAATATCTGAAACGTCCCGAAACCATTCCGGTGTCTGAATACCTTCGTCTAATATATCAATCTTTACCTCTCGACCATTTCGAGGCTCCTCGTCATGTATGTGATCACATCCGGGATTCCGAACAATCTTCGGTCACCAAGACACATAACTCATAACACAAATCGCCATCGAACGTTAAGCATGCGGACCCTACGGGTTCGAGAACTATGTAGACATGACCGAGACACATCTCCGATCAATAACCAACAGCGGAACCTGGATGCTCAAATTGGTTCCTACATATTCTACGAATATCTTTATCGGTCAAACCGCAATGACAACATACGTCATTCCCTTTGTCATCGGTATGTTACTTGCCCAAAATTCGATCGTCGGTATCATCATACCTAGTTGAATCTCGTTACCGGCAAGTCTCTTTACTCATTCTGTAATGCATCGTCCCGCAACTAACTCATTAGTCACATTGTTTACAAGGCTTATAGTGATGTGCATTACCGAGAGGGCCCAGAGATACCTCTCCAATACTCGGAGTGAAAAATCCTAATCTCGATCTATGCCAACCCAACAAACACCTTCGGAGACACCTGTAGAGCATCTTTATAATCACCTAGTTACGTTGTGACGTTTGATAGCACACAAGGTGTTCCTCCGGTATTCAGGAGTTGCATAATCTCATAGTTGTATAAGTCATGAAGAAAGCAATAGCAATAAAACTTAACGATCATTATGCTAAGCTAACGGATGGGTCTTGTCCATCACATCATTCTCCTAATGATGTGATCTCGTTCATCAAATGGCAACACATGTCTATGGTCAGGAAACTTAACCATCTTTGATTAATGAGCCAGTCAAGTAGAGGCATACTAGGGACACTATGTTTTGTCTATGTATTCACACATGTATCAAGTTCCCTGTTAATACAATTATGGCATGAATAATAAACATTTATCATGATATAAGGCAATATAAATAACAACTTTATTATTGCCTCTGGGGCATATTTCCTTCAGTCTCCCACTTGCACTAGAGTCAATAATCCAGATTACATTGTAATGATTCTAACACCCATGGAGTCTTGGTGTTGATCATGTTTTACTCGTGGAAGAGGCTTAGTCAACGGGTCTGCAACATTCTGATCCGTATGTATTTTGCAAATCTCTATGTGTCCCTCCTTGACTTGATCGCGGATGGAGTTGAAGCATCTCTTGATGTGTTTGGTTCTCTTGTGAAATCTTGATTCCTTCGCTAAGGCAATTGCTCCAGTGTTGTCACAAAAAAAATTCATTGGACCCGATGCACTAGGGATTACACCTAGATCGGATATGAACTCCTTCATCCAGACTCCTTCATTTGCTGCTTCCGAAGCAGCTATGTACTCCGCTTCACACGTAGATCCCGCCACGACGCTTTGCTTGGAACTGCACCAACTGACAGCTCCATCATTCAATATAAATACGTACCCGGTTTGTGACTTAGAGTCATCTAGATCAGGGTCAAAGCTAGCATCAGCGTAACCATTTATGACAAGCTTTTTCTCACCACATAAACGAGAAACATATCCTTAGTCCTTTTCAGGTATTTCATGATGTACTTGACCGCTGTCCAGTGATCCACTCCTGGATTACTTTGGTACCTCCCTGCTAAACTTATAGCAAGGCACACACCAGGTCTGGTACACAGCATTGCATACATGATAGATCCTACGGCTGAGGCATAGGATGACTTTCATTTTCTCTCTATCTTCTGCAGTGGTTGGGCATTGAGTCTGACTCAACTTCACACCTTGTAACACAGGCAAGAACCCTTTCTTTGACTGATCCATTTTGAACTTCTTCAAAACTTTATCAAGGTATGTGCTTTGTGAAACTTTATCAAGGTATGTGCTTTGTGAAAGTCCAATTAAGCGTCTTGATCTATCTCTATAGAAGGCAGTGGGAGGACGCCGCGCGGAGGAAGGAGGAGGCCTAGATGGAGGAGGAGGGCGGGAAAAGGAGGCTGGAGGAGGCTCAGAGGAGGAAGGAGGCGGACAAGAACAAGGATGGGTATGAGGTATGATCGATCATGCACTTGCTCGTTCCTTTTGCTATGAGTTCAGTTTTCCTGTTCCTTTCTTCTCCTGTCTGAATTGGCAAAATGAGGATCATCAGCGTTACTTTCTGTTCATTAGCGTGTTTTGACCGATCATCAGCATTTAGGCAGGTTTAGATCTCTGAAAAAACTGATGTTTGCTGTCACTATAATGGT